CGAGCACCCATGGTGCTGAGGCGAGAGCTTGGGATGGTGAGAAGTCCTACGGAGGAAGAGCGGAGGGTGCGGGAGGGGGTGTACTCCTGAAGGAGCTCGGTGATGTAGATGGGGGCTAGGTTGAGAGCTTTATATGTGAGTAGAAGGTTTTTGTATTCAATACGGTAGCGTACAGAAAGCCAGTGTAGCTGAGTGAGAATGGGGGTGATGTGGATGAGTTGGTGCGGGTGATGATCCGGGCAGCAGAGTTCTGGATTATTTGCAGTCTATTAATGAGTTTGATGGGAAGGCCAGTCAGAAGTGCATTGCAGTAATTAATCCGGGATGTGACGAATGAGTGGACCAGGATTTCAGTGATGGGTTGGGACAGAGATGAGCGGAGTCTGGAGATGTTCAGAAGATGGAAGAAGGCAGTGCGGATGATGTTTTTAATGTGTGGTGCGAATGAGAGGCAGCCGTCCAGAATGACACCGAGGCTTTTCACTTGGGCAGAGAATGGTATGGGGAAGCCGTCGATGATGATGTTTGGAGCTGGGGTGTTTTGTGACTTGGTGAGGGTGGATTTATGGCGCATTTCCACTACACGGCCTCGCTCGGCCTCGCTCGGTATGGCTAGGCCTCGTTAGGACTGGCTCACTTTATGCTGCGCTTCCATTACAGTTTAGGAACTGGGGTAGTATCTATAGTAACGCAGTGTAGGCGGAGCCGTGACGTCATCTTCAATGAGAACCCCAGAAAAACAACACAGCCGTTAGCTGTTAGCACTCAGAGCTCACAGCTCCTCATATCTGTTCAGAAACTAGACAAAAGTTAAACAAGTACAAACCACAGACTGTCTGTGTCATGGCGAATACAGTCGCTGCTTTATTTATGTCTGTATAGGCCGTTGTTATGAGTGTGGACGGTCGGAGCATATACTGCGTTAGCTTAGCCAATCTCCATTCAGAAAACACGCATTTTAAAAGGTGTTTCGCCTGCCGTCTGTCTGCAGACTTGTCAAAGCATTAATTCATGGTTTTTACTAACCGGTATCAGTATGTTGTTACTTCGGCATCATTTTGAAACGTGTATTACAATTAAATCACGGTCAAATATGTCCATCTTGTTGTAGTTGTAGCCCCCTTGCCAGCGATTCTCTCTCTAGTTTAGCATACTCAGCCCGACTCAGCCTGGTTGTCTCTGGCCCTAGACCCACGATTTTATGAGGCCAGAAAAACTGTGAATTAAGACCCGCCGGCCGGTACTAGGCCAAGTGGAAACGCAACCAAAAACGGGCCGCTGACGTCACAGCCCTGTTAAACCGTGCTCCGCGCTGTAGTGGAAACGCGCCATTAGAGCCAATGAGCAGGGCCTCAGTTTTGCTACTATTAAGCTTCAGGAAAGTCCTGCTCATCCAGCTCCTGATGTCCTCAAGGCAGGTGGTGAGGGAGGGATACATTGGCTTAGTATACATGTAAGATAAGGAAACCAATGTGGGTTGATCCTTTAAATCATTTATTTTGTTTAAAATATATACCCTCTTATAAAATAGGTTTACTTTTATTAGGTTTTAAGACTGTTTTGAATCGCTTTAGGCATTGAGATCATCATTGTTCTTGTTCACACTGGCCGCATTCTGCGTAAATATATTGTATATTGTGTCATGCAAGGATTTTTATTTAGAGTTTACCATATCTGGTAGCTATTTTCGAAAAGATGGTCTTATTACAAAGTTCCCTCTTTTTGTTGCTTAGCTCAGCAAGGAAACTATTGAAATATAAAGAACATCATTTGCACTGAGACTTAAGAAGATACTCCCATGAGAGACAGTTTAAGCTAATAGAGAAACAATTTGAATGTTTCCTTTCTATCCATACCCTGGACAAATCTATAATATTGATCCATTGGAGTGTTTTACGTTTCCTGTTTAATTATGTAGCAGTTCAAACCATCAATAATTGACAGTAAAAGCATATCAGAAAGACTATAAAGAACAGGCTGGAGTTGTGTATAGTTTGGCACTGTATTTGGTAAACTGGGAAAATACCCCAAAGTTCAATGTAGTAAATGAACAGGATGTAAACAGGAGAGCTGTTAGAGAAGGCCATGTTAGCACCTTAGATTCTGTTGAATACATCTGACCAAATCTTTGTGTCTGATGTTTCTTTGAGCTTTATCTCTGGGTGTGTGTGCATTGCAGAGACAGTGTACAGGGTATACAGAAGCAGATAGAAGCTAGAAAACCATTAAGCAATAACTCCATTACCAGCTTCATATTTCACCATCATTAATACCAAATAAACCAGCTGCAGTGGTTAATGTTGCACTGCATTAGAAACTTTCCTAAAAACAATTTGGTTCAGCCAAATGCTGTGGCTGACTCAAAGTCTCTGTGATGCTTAATACTTTAGAATAAATTAAATAGAAACTCGATGCCATTACCACAAACTACAACATTCTGATTTCATCTTATTTATTGGGAGAAAAACGCTTTTCTGTGTATGGCTCACACTAACCACTAGTGATGGGAATTCCGGCTCTTCTTGGTGAGCAGGATCATTTGGCTCGGCTCACCAAGAAGAGCCGGCTCTTTCGGCTCCCAAACGGCTCTTCAGTTTACCACATATACATTTTATAATTCAATCAAATGTAGCCCTGTTTTGACTAATGATTTATATGTGTACACATATCACTTAAATTATTCAATACATCCTTTGTACTGAAGTATTCAAAAGTAAAAATGACATGTTTAATATCAATGATTTGCTGTGGCCAATTGTTTTCATTGCATTTACAGACCCTTGTAACTCTCTGATACCACCCAAAGAATGCACTGACTTGCTTGTAGAACCACGCTACACAAAGCAGCTACAGCTACTGTATCGACATTTTAAAATTATATTTAGAGAAAAAGCCCTGACAAAACAGCAGGGCTCTATTTCAGTATTATCTAAAGAAAAAAAGACAGCAACAGCTGACATCAAATCTTTGCTGAGCCTAAAGATAATCATAAATAAATAACATAGTGAAAATAAATATATTGCAATGCTCAAAACAGCAGCATCCAACCGTCTCTAATCCTTGGATATTACATGTCACTGCATGCATGCACGGAGCACCCGTAGCGCGGAGATCATCATATCATTCTGTCTTGTATTAAATGACCGCGTCTTGTATTAAATTACAAGTTAAATTACGGCTCCCGTCGTTCACTTAAAAAGAGCTCTTTCGCTCGTTCACATCACTACTAACCACCCGGCATTTTAAAAATGTTTTAAAGATTTAAAGATATTGTTTCTGCTTGGGAAAAACATGGAAGATCCGAGAGTATCCTGTATTAAAGTGTGACACAGGATTCACATCAGAGATCACATCATCTGTTTACAGATACTGGAGGGAACTACTGTAACTGTGTTCAAGTTTTCTAAAGACTTTTGTTACTCCATATGGAGCTGTGGGAAGTCTAATCAAATGTGTTGGTTAGGTCTGAGGTATGGGTCTCAAGATTTCAATTACAAATCGAAAATCGATTAAAAATGAGTTTTCAATTTCAATTATCAAAATTAAAATCAGGATCAGTGAGTCTCCAAGTATTTATTTTTCTCAAACCTGACACGCCCAAAGAAAACATTATGAGTGATGTGAGGTTACTGAAAGAGTCCCCTGTGAGACGACTTTAAGCCTCGATATGATTTCATCTGTTGGGCTGTATAAAGATTCAATGCCAGGACAGCAGCATGTTGACTCACCTTTGGAGCCAGGCTCAAGTGGCAACATCCTTCAGAGGAACCTTTCAGGAAATGCAGAGGTTTCTTAAGGTCATTGGCTGGAACAGTGGACAGCCTTCATCTACATTCTACATCACCAACCTCAGGAACACTTTATAAGCCATCAATTTGTACTTAACAAAGTGACCCTGCTACTGAAGAGACGAGTCTTTGTAAAACAGGACTCAACAGCTCCTTGAGTCAAATGGAAATGAATGATGGAAGAAAAGTAAATATATGAGTTAATGATAAACTTATTTATTGCTCAGGTATGTTGGAAACCTTTGAGTATAGTGATAACCTTTTGCTGCTGTGCACATCCACACATACCTTCCACATGACGAGCTCCCCAAATATACAATTAACATAGACAATTAAGAAGAATATTTTAAACCTTTTCCATATTACGGTAACAGACACATTTGAAGTGAAACATGGTGGTCACTCCCTCAAAAGCCTGGATTTATTACAGCATGATGATCTATATTTATTTCTTAAAATCCAGCGTTTGTTCCAGCCAAAGACCACTGAATCAAAACACTCACCACATCTGTGTTGACACATATTTTATAACATATTTCCGTCCCTCTAGTCTTTATTCAACCAACAAATGTAATTGCCTTGCTCTGTCACTACTACAGAGACATGTTGTTCTCTGGTTCAAATATGTGTTCAAGGAGCAAACATACCATGTACACACACACACACACACACACACACACACACACACACACACACACACACACACACACACACACACACACACACACAATGAAAAACAACAATGTACACACACACACAAAATCACATGCACACACAACACTGTTCCTGAGATCAAATACATTTATTTCGCTATTCGCTACTTGTCCTCTCTGTTAATGCATGTTCTCCATTCTACATGTCTTATGAGCTCTTACCCCCCCCCCCCCCCCCCACACCAACTGCCCCCAGTCTATTTCCTGTCTCTCTGTCTCTAATATTAGTATTTATTGTGGGACTATTCTTGACTTTGTTGGATGTAGCATGTTAATAATAATAATAATAATGGGTTCCATTTATAAAGCACTTCATATTCGAATTCAAATCCCGAAGTGCTACAGGCAGTGAGCAATGTTATTACTTTGCAGTATGCTAGTATTGTTGATTGTTAGTCATGTACTCCTGTAAAGAAGACATGATATCGCGGATCACATTCCCTGGCTGAAACATGTGAAGATCTTGCTTATTTTTAACAAACCGTGGTTGGGTTCTCACCTTGGGTCTTTTCCAGGTGACTGTGCCGATGCGGTTGTTCTGGTAGAACAGAGACTGGTCAGAGGTGGGGAACAGAGGGTCTTCAAACAGTCTTCCATTCTGCCGGCACTGCCTCCTCAGTGCAGAGAAGGACTGGCCCTCGTATGGAACCACCATGCCCTGCAGACGGAAAGTGAGCTCGATCAGTCCCTCTCATGGTTAACATCCATACTGAATCTGTCCAAAATGTCACCACTTCATCATTTGAACAGCCTTTTGAAACATTTTTGAAACTGTCAACTGTATCATATAAATACAAAAGTGATTTGTTTTGTAAAGTTAGTGAAATTGAATCTTCATCTTCTCCCCAAATGAATGTCAATGCACTTCATGCACCTTTTTTGAGATCTTCTATTGTTGTCGATTTACGACTCAGGTTTTTCAATCCTCAAATAAAAAATGAGGATAAGAACAACAGACACACCTACTGACTGTCCAACTAACTAAATATGGAAGCCCATGGTTGCAATGAGGACATGTGTTCAGATTGAAACTCGTAAACTCATATTCACTGACTGCAGATATGTGTGTGCCTCTGAGGCTCACTGTGGTGTGATCAAGATTAGTGAGCAGGATATCCTTCTCCTTTAAAGTAGAAGTCTTTTATCAGTGCCACACACACACGCACATGAAAGTCCAATACACATTACATTAACCATCCCACTGGTCATGTGACACCTGATCACAGTTTCATGCTGCAGCAGCATCAAGAGAAGGCCTGCAGAAACGTCCTGTGTGTCCCACCATGTTGAGCAGCAGATAGCAGGGTGGACATGAAAGAATGCTCTTCTTCTATGCATGATCACTTTGTTAGGGAGATATTGAAAAGGCATCCGTGTCACTGGTTTAACAGAGGTTTGAAAAACCCTCCTCATTGCAGCCTGTGAAAAAAACATTCTTCGTCCTACATTATCATTCCCGCAGTGAGACTGCGTTATCTCGCTGAGCAGGCCTCAGCCATCTTTATTATACTCTGTTATTCTGACTAAAGCCTGAAGAGACATTGAGACAAAAACACATCAAGGTCTGACCGGTGCTGACACACAAACACAAATCTGAAGCTACACATCCACACAGAGTAACACTCTGACAACAGGGTGGTATAGTACTCTACCTTCTGTACTGTATTAAAATAAAGCACAGTAATAGTACTTCAAATGTATACTAAAGTGTTTCCATTTTATGCAGCATACAGACAAATGAAGCAGCAATATTATCAATAATCATAACAAAACACTGAGAGGGAACATTTTACTGTAGTTTACTTTAAGTACTTCAATATTGCTGATAATGACGGGTTTTTACTGGTACTGCTACTTTTCCCTAACTACAGGATCTGAATATGTCTTCTACCACAGCCTGACAGGAAGTGTGGGGCTCAGTCAGTAATTACATCAGTGTCAATTAAAGGCACTCCACACTGATGCTGAACAGAGCACAGAACAACAGATCATATCATCTGCTGGGGCTGTCCGTTTCAATTTTTTTTTTTAAAACACCAAGAAATAACAAAGCAACTCGTCTTTCAGGAAACAATGTCCTGATATTCCTCACTCTGAACCGAGAAAAAGAATCGGTTGGTAATGGGGAAAAACCCTTTAACAGTGGGCATGGGCGGCGCCAGAGATTTCTTTTGGGGGTGCTGTGGGGTAGCTTGACGTTTCATAGAGGGTGCTCAAACATTTAGGGTTTCCCATTAAGGTACCGGGTGCTACAGTGGAATGTTCTACTGCAACACTCCCCACACGCACAGTATATCCGCGATCCCAGTGGGGGGTGGAGCTAACATCCTCTATGATCCCCCCCGGGAAGATTTTTTTTTAAATATTGAAGTTAAAAGCATCAATCTGGTGCACAAATGAAGAGATCTATGGATACATCTCAACACCCATATGAAACAGAACTGTAAACAGATTTTCTATTTCTTTATGGATATTTTACAAATCACTCCCCTTTTAAACTGTATTCTTGTTTTACTGTCATATGGTATTTCATACCTGTTTTTCATTTATGCTCTTATTTTTTTATAACTATATTGATCATATAAAGGTGTGCCTTGGAAATACTTGTTTACATAAATGGTGATCAAACTGTTTGAGACCCACTGAGATAACTTAGACCAGCGGTTTTCAAAGTGCGGCGCGCCCCTGGGGGGCGCCAGAGAGCTTCAGGGGAGGCGCAGCGTGAGAAAAAAATAACGAGAAACAGTGAAATCTAGCTAGTTAACTTCAGCTAACTTTATGCGAGCGGCAACATGGATCGATTTTTAGTGAAGTTAGGTTACCTAAAGTCAAAGACGCACTCATTGTTCCCACTAAAGGAGGCAAAGTTGACGTTCAGTGTGTTGCCGGGAGCATATAAGGAATTATCCACGATGTTGAAAATGTTAAAAAAAAAAATTAAAACATTTTTTTTTTTTTTTTTTAAACATAAAGATAAAAAGGTTTGAAAAAGTTGTTGTTTAATGTTTTAAGGAGGTGACGCTACTCAGCCAATCAAATTGGTGCAGTCAGTGAGTCAGCACGATAGATTCAAACACACAGAGGCGAGACAAGAGGAGAGAAACAGTCGGAGTCATTTCAAATGGTGTGCTCAAAAAAGAGAAAGGTAGACAGCGAAAACAGAGCATTTAATGACATGTTCTCTTACTGGACCTCTTTGAAATGCAATTGAATACCCCTGCATTATAGCAACAACAACAATAATAATAATAATAATAATAATAATAATAATAGCAATAATAATTGGGAGGGGGTGCATGGCTGTTCTTATGTTCTCTGAGGGGAGGCTCACCTTCCCACACTTTGAAAACCCCTGACTTACGCAGCGTCCACACGGCAGCGTGCGTTGAAGCTTGCCGGCGGGCGTGTCTGAAGCTCGACCAACAACCAATCACATGAATCTCCCGCCCCGGACACACAAGCACGCGGTTTGATTGGCTAGAGCTTGTACTGGCATATGATTTGATTGGCTGACGCTTCCGTCGAAGCTTGAAAAGTTGAACTTTTCTCAACTTTTGAAGCGAGCAACGGAGGCAAAGCGAAGCGACGGAACCACAATGCAGTTCGGCAAAGCGTGACGTCACCCCATTCAAAGTGAATGGGAAGCTGCGTTGAAGCTTGAACGAACGCCGCCGTGTGGACGGGCCGTTAGACTAAAGTTAACTAAACACTGAGAGAGTCCTTTACCTCACTGAGCTGACGTTATCTGACAGGAGGAGAGGACTTTCCCTTCACCTTGTTGTAGAAACAGCTTATAATATCCGTTAGCGCAGCTAGCTAACCAGATGCTAACAATCTCCGGTACAGGTGCTCTCTCTCTCTCTCGCTCGCTCACTCGTGCCAGACACACAGAGCCGAGCTTGAATGAAACACCCAGAAGTACTTGTACTGTACTGTACCATATCATTTTTTAATCAATCATTTTTCAAATTGTGAATTTCACATATATATAAAAAAAAACATACATTTCTTGGGGTTGCTTAGCAGTTGCTAGGCCAAATGTTGCTGTTGCTGTAGCAACTCCAAGCTACCGCCTGGCGCCGCCCCTGACAGTGGGAAAGTACTGTGGGGCTTAAAGAATGAAATAAATGTGCATCTGAAAAGGATGTAGGGATGATAAAAATCAAACTGTGCCAGAGTGAAGGTAACATTACAAAACATGTCTAAAGGAAACGACATGTTGTCTCAGAGAAGGAACTGAGCTGACCCGCAATAAAGCATAACTGGGGAATGACTCACCATCGCAGGGGGGGGGGGGGGGGGGGGGGGGGGGGGGGGGGGGGGGGGGGGGGGGGGTCTGTGCAGTTTGATACACATAAACAACACTAGTATTTGTCATGTTTGTCACTCTCACATGTGACAGTGAGACAGCACGAACCAACCCAGGAGTCTTTAACTGAAGAAGCTTAATGGAGCGCAGCCAGCGTTATTATTTACACATGTGATATGTCAGTAAAAAAGGCCTATTATATTGCATTTCATTCGAATACATAAAGGGAAACTCTCAACAATGACTTAACAAGCAAATAGTGTAGACAGGGTATGAGGTTACTTTCTCCCTTGAATGTTCCCTTAGATAAGTTTTGATTAATCCATGAATTGTGTCGTCTAAGACATCCCAGGAAAAGTTAGTTGCTTCGAATGTATTTATTTAATGTTCCTGACCAGCAGTCCAAAGATATACTAGATATATTTTACATTTACCATGATAGAAAACTGTACATTACTGGTAAACTGGGTTATTGCAAATTATCTAAAAACAAATCATCTTTAAATAATTCATCCAGCAACAATTTTTTACTTGGTCACAGTTACTCAAATGTAAGGATTTGCTTTTTGAAATTGTTGTTAACAAAAAATATTGTTTGATCAGACAGAACAAGCAATATATTTATTTTAGGCTGATTATCGATCAATAGTTCACAGTTTGACTTTTGGCCAAAACTCCCCCGGTGGGCAGGCCAGCTTGATTCTCTCTCAGAGGAGATAGTGGTTATGAAACTCTAAACTCGAGGACACCTGTTATTTCTGCCTGCACGGGTCTCTCAACAGTCTTTACAGTAGAGCTGAGAGTCTTGTGGACTCATAAGCCTGCATGTCTTCCTGTGTGATGATGCATGGGCCACATAGAAGCCAGCTAACAGTAGTGAGATTAGTTTTTGAACCAATCTCTATATAAAGAGTTGTTGTGAGAGTGAGGGTATTCAGACTGCACCCCAATCATTATGCCAATAAAGCGGTTTATGAGCAGTTTGCAGAAAAGAAAGGGCTAGAAATCCATTCAACAAAAAATGTGGTTCTTGTAGAAGTTTTTTAAACCCAATCCCAGCATGAATTTTCTTCAAGGTTTTTGTTTCTTCATTAATGGTATTTTTTACAATTTGTAATCAATTGTTGGGTCTAATGTTCTTAGCCCTTATGCACTTTTCACAATCAATGTTAATAAATTAAAAAGAAGTTTACCCTTCAGGTACCTCTGGTGTTCTCCACAGACACAGGGTTCGATTTTGGAGCGAGCAGTAAAGGAGGGAAACCAACCAAACACGGGTGTGGTTTCATGTGGGCACAGACCACAGAGATATGTGCCAGCAAACAACAATAATGCAGATTTCAAAATATCACATTTTAGATGATTTATTACATGAACGGCCTGAACATATTGGATGTACCCAAATGCAGCTGTAAATCAGTTTGCTGGTCTCAGTTTGCTCAAATTGACTTACCCCTAGATTCCACCGGGTCCGTCTGCGGCGCGTTACGGACGCGTTACGGCTGCGCCGCGGTGCTCAAGGTGATCGCGGCCACTCTAGTCAATGGGTGCTATTCCACCACACGCGGCGCGTTACGGCTCAGACGCGTCCCAGAAGCGGCTCGGCGCAGGGCTTTTCTAAAATTAGGATCGAATCCTATTTTTGTCGCGGCGCAGCCGTAACGTAAGGTCGGGCAGGCAGGAAGTGGAACGTTCAGAGCTATATAGACCTATATATATACACACACACAAACTAATTTTGCAGACCCTATCCCTCCGTAGTCTTTCAAGTAGGAGGAGAAATGCCAGCGTTCTCCTCCGGTTTACAGGCACTGTGTAAATTATATATATAGAATAATTATGATGATGAATGCATTTTTTTTACCACTAAAATACAGCAACACATCTTTGATTCATGTCGTTTATAACTGGAATATTACAGTTATTATTAACTTTGTCTGTACAAAGTAGCCTGACCAGGAAATATGCCCAAATCAACAAAAACTGCGAGCCAGCAGGCAAGACTCTCCGCTTCTGAAATGCTTCTGAAACGCGCCTGGTAGGGTATGACGCCGGAGGAGGCCGGACCAAAACCGCGGCGCAGCCGTAACGCGGCGCAGACGGACCCGGTGGAATCTAGGGGTTATAGACACATTTTGTAGAAGAGCTGTGTAAAGACACAATAACAACTACACCGGAATTTGGGAAATCGTTGCCTTCGCAGTAAAAGTGCAGTGTTTGGCACGGTAACAACAATGTAGGGAAATGGAAACATAAGCCGCTTTTAATACATTGTGACAGAAATATATTTTTCATTTTAGTGTACTTTCCTATTATTTTGCCTTTGATATCTAGTCTAAAATGTAGAAATACTGTAGCAATGTCATTACTGATGCATTCATATGTTCACAACCTAAACGCTGTAGCTTTTATTTCAGCCATTCTACATAATAAGTCCTTTACCTTTGGTATTCAGTATTAGTAGGTTTTAATGTCAATGCCGGTATCTCACTTTTAAGTATTTCTACACTATTATTTCTACTTTTACCACAGAACACTTCCTCCAGTAAAGCATTTTATTTTGAAGGCTCCTGGCGGAAGTATATTTGGTTCCACCAGTTAGCTTGAAAGATGGCAAGTTTTATTTTAAGTAAATTTTTCATCTTCTTTGAAAAGGCGGAAATCAAAACCTGGGACAACGTTTCATACTTTGTTTTATGATTAATAAGACAAAGTAGCGTTATTGTCTAACGCTACCAAGAAAAGTTTCATAAATCGTGTCTACATGCACTCATTTAGAGTTAAAGTGTTTCGAATTCAGCTTTACAAGAGTTGAAATAATTTTTCTTCAACTTTTCTAAAGCAGAAATAAAAAACATAGCGATGATGCTAGTAGACTTAGATTAGTGAAACGGCTTTATTAGAGCTAAATTACCTCCAACTACATTATATTTTTAGTTTTTACCTGAGGAAACTTTTGGTTTAAGGTCCGCTTCACGGGTGTCTCTCAGCGGCAGCTCCCCCTGTTCTCCCGGGAGGATGTGGAGTGTTTCCTCCTGTCTGTCGGTCCTCAGCTCGGCGGTGTGTGAGGAGCTTCTCAGCCGGGGTCCAGTTTATTAGTGTACAGCCTACAGCGGCCTGAGAATCTGACTGACTGAGGAGGAGGAGGAGGAGGGCGCGAGCCAGACCTGTGGTGCCTTCAGGTTCAGCACGGAAATATCGGAACCACTTACTACCAGTGGTGGAACAAGTATTTAGATTCTTTACTTGAGTAAAAGTACCAATATAAAATACTCAACTTCTAAAAGTACTACATCGAAGTACGATTAAAAGCAAAAGCAGCAAATCTTCACATTAAGAAGCTGGAACTGTTAAATATTATTTAACAGAAAAAACCTCTCAGCAAAATTGCTGCCAACTAATTTCCTGTTTACCCGCCCATGATTTTACTGGGATGTGATGTTGGATGGTTTGATCTATACCAAATAATCATATTTTAAAAGTCTTTCCTAAGTATTTTGTGTCAAAATCTGAATTAATAAAGTAACTAGTAAATAAATCTGTCAAATAAAGGTAGTGGAGTAAAAAGTACAATACGGTCTTCCAAAATGTAGTAGAGCAGAAGTACAAAGTAGTGTACAATGAAAATACTTGGGTAAAGTACTAGTACCGCGAATGTGTACTTAAGTACAGTACTTATGTAATTACTTATTTTCCACCACTGCTTACTTCTATATTGTTTTTTGGGAAAATGATACTGGCATCACCCAACATAAATATGCAATTTACAAAATGAATGATATATAAACAAATATACATACACACATAGTTAATTCAGTAGAAGCGAATTCTCACGTCTGTCCTTCCTCAGTGGGACCCTAACCAGTCTGACACAAGGATGCAACATCTGGGAAATGTAGCACAACATCTACAGACATATCCTCAGATGTTCACCACATGTTAAGCAGCTTTTGTCAGGTCATCTTATAAACAGTTATAACATGAAAGACCATGAATAAGTAGCACAGGATGAGTAGTAATAACCTACAAATGTTTAACCGAGGAGTAATAATAATAATAATAATAATAATAAATGGAATTTATAAAGCGCCTTTCACGGGACCCAAGGTCGCTGTACATGGTGGACAGACAAAACAAAACAGACAATGAGGAGCGAACAAAACAAGAACAAAATAAAATAAAATAAAGGAAGCCAGGGGACCAGGAAAGGACTAGGGTCCGAAGGCCATGGACCCTAGAGTAGCAAACCTTTCCCCTACATGTTTTAAATCATAGAAAAATAGTTTATATTATCAGATGATTTAGTCTTAAGAAATACTGTATTACCAATGTTTGAAGAACTATTAAGTTATTTCATTGTAAAAGTCGTATGCTACAAGAAAAGATCCTGCATTTTACGGATGGTGAAAAGTATTCATAGTAAAATATTCTAAAAGTATCAAAAGTAAAAGTAATGACCCATTTTCAGAATTATATTTATACTACTGATTTGTAATTATTGATGCATTAATGTGTTCATCACTTCATTTAAAATATAAAATTTACCATATGCTGCCAAAAGGATGCAACAACTGCACAATGCCAAACAACTTGCTTATATTAATATATGCATATTGGCAGTGATGATCTTTTTAAATGAACACATAGTATGTATAACTACACCTACAGGTAACCAACAGTGAAATAAAGTGGATGTGTAGTTACGAAAGTTGTCAGATAAATGTAGTGCAGCTAAAAGTAGAATATGTCGCTCTGAGATTTAGTCATGTAGAAGAATAAAGTTGCAATAAATGATAAATACTACAAGTACTTCAAAACAGTGCTTGAGTAAATGTGCTTTGTTGCCCTCCACTACTGTTGTTTACACTGAGAGAAATAAGCCAAACCAGAATAGAGTGCCACAGTGACGCGTCCTAAAACCCGGAAGTAAGTTTCTTCCGGTTCCCTCGACAAAACGCAATGCAATTTCTCCATAGGATTTTGGAAAATAGCTCGAAATAAGGTCTGTGGTTGACACACATTTAAGAGACGGATCACGTTTTGTTCATTCGGATAATCTCCACATGTCTACACTAGTTTTATAATTTTCGATAGATTTATGATTAGAAAATTATAAAAGTAGGGTACCGTAGACATGTGGAGATTATCCGACTGAACAAAACGTGATCCGTCTCTTAAATGTGTGTCATCCTCACTAGTGTCCATCAACACGGTCGCATTCACACCAGCCTTGTATAGTCCAGTTGAATCGAACCCTGGTGGTGCGTTTAGCTGCTTGGTGCGGTTCGTTTGGGTTGGTGTGAACGCAGTCCGAGACCTCTGAAGTGAATTAACAACCGGACTCTGGTCCGCAGGTGGTCTCGGAGTGCTTGCTAGTGAACTCTGGAGCGGTTCATCGCTGGTGTGAACGCAGTCCGCACCAAAACATAGAAAGTGTAGTATTTACACGTCACAAGAACGCGGTTGTTTAGTTAAAGAGTGAAGCAGAATGAAGTGTTGAATAGTGTCGTAACAGTAAAAATGCTCCGTCAACTATACATAAAAGTCAGAGCCACCTGTCGTCTGTGAAACCCCCCTCCTTACTGCAGAACGTCTCTCATTATGTGTTATAATTTTTTTAACGGACGTTGTCTGATTATATAATCATATGCGCGGGCCGCTAGAGTCTGTTGATCTCCAGATTAACAGCTGCATGAAAATAACCTGCCGAAAGTGCCGATGCTCCATGGCGGAGGCTCCGGTAGAAATTGTCGGGATTTGCGTTTTTACCCCCTTAATGTCTGACCAATGGTTGAACAGCATTTCCGTGCACATGACTTGTGCTTAAAGTTAAACAAGGGACACTACCTACTACTACGGGGAAACTAATGGCGCGTTTCCACTACAGCGCGGAGCACGGTTTAACAGGGCTGTGACGTCAGCGGCCCGTTTTTAGTTGCGTTTCCACTTGGCCTAGTACCGGCCGGCGGGTCCTAATTCACAGTTTTTCTGGCCTCATAAAATCGTGGTTCTAGGGCCAGAGACAACGAGGCTGAGTCGGGCTGAGTATGCTAAACTAGAGAGAGAATCACTGGCAAGGGGGCTACAACTACAACAAGATGGACATATTTGACCGTGATTTAATTGTAATACACGTTTCAAAATGATGCCGAAGTAACAACATACTGATACCGGTTAGTAAAAACCATGAATTAATGCTTTGACAAGTCTGCAGACAGACGGCAGGCGAAAAACCTTTTAAAATGCGTGTTTTCTAAATGGAGATTGGCTAAGCTAACGCAGTATATGCTCCGACCGTCCACACACACAACAACGGCCTATACAGACATAAATAAAGCAGCGACTGTACTCGCCATGACACAGGCAGTCTGTGGTTTGTACTTGTTTAACTTTTGTCTAGTTTCTGAACATATATGAGGAGCTGTGAGCTCTGAGTGCTAACAGCTAACGGCTGTGTTGTTTTTCTGGGGTTCTCATTGAAGATGACGTCACGGCTCCGCCTACACTGCGTTACTATAGATACTACCCCAGTTCCTAAACTGTAATGGAAATGCGCCATAAAGTGAGCCAGTCCTAACGAGGCCTAGCCATACCGAGCGAGGCCGAGCGAGGCCGTGTAGTGGAAATGCGCCATAAGGGTCCGTTTGAGTTTTGCCCGTGTGAACGCAAACCGAACCTTCTGAAAAATGTAACAATGTAACAAACTGTCGTCTGGTGCGCACCTGAAAACGGACAATTAGGTGTGAATGCGACCTAAAACAGGGTTTGTATCACTCCATCTGCTGAGTGCATGGTTGTGTTTACATGTCCATATATCACAGACATTGTTGTTCAAATCAACATGATTTTCTGGATGTTTGCTCCTGTATAGTTTTAAAACAATCACATTTGTACTTTTTGTCATTTTTATGACCTGTGTCCTGTTTTGTCTCTGAATGGATGTCCTGTCTGTCTGTAACTGTGTGTCCTATGCATATCTCTCTTGACAATGGCCGTATCTAATTTCTGGGATTTCCCCTCCTCGACTCCTCGGTCCTCCGGTAGTGACCCAGAAATGAATTTCAGCGCGCCATGTTGAAGGACATCTAATTTCTCTAAATGCACTTAGAGGACCGAGGATCGAGCGTCGAGGAGGCTCTCTGGAGGAGCTATAATCGAGGATACACTGATGGGTCCTCCACGGCTCCTCCGTGGATGCATTTCCGGCAACAGAGATGTTTCAAAGAGTCGTGACGCACGGCCGGACTGATCTCAGCCAATGACAGCCCTGCATGCATCCCCTGGATATTATTTTATTAACTGCTTTCATTGCGACGCGATGAGAGAACAGCTGTGAGGTCAGTGCAGAAAGCAGAGCAGTGTGTATAATATTGTAACGTTCGACAATAGGAGTCGGAAACAGGCTTCAAGTTATTGGGTTTAATAACTCCTTTGATCGCATACGGTTACAGGTTACAGGTTGCAGGTTGCAGGTTCATCATCACTCCGTACTCCACTCCCTAAGGCCCAATCCCAAACCACTCCCTCGACCCTACCCCTCCGGCTCCGTGACGGAGTGAACTCCGTCTGTAGCCACACTCGCAGCTGAATGAAGTTCCCTCCATTAAGGGTTAAGGGTATAAATACAGCGCACCGCATTGGGACGGCCTCCCCTCTCTCCGGCAGAAACAGGAAATGCCGCAACTGTATGTAACAACAGTTTCAAATCAGCATCTCTTAGACAAACAATTTAAATTAAGAACTCAAATAAAACTCCAAACATCTTTCATTGTGTTACTTTTTCTGTAAAGCTCTATTAGTTTTAAACCTGATTTTTATAAGCTTCTTAGTTTTTGCAACAATCTGTAAATATACACAACTTTATAATAAAATGCACACATTGACCTTTTTCTAGACTAAACACAGGTATGATCCTAAATTAAAAACATACGAGGTTATCATGAGGTTGTTAACATCGCAGTTTATCAGTGGATGTTTGCTGGAACTACTTTTTAACAGCGTGTTTCCTGACGGACACACACAGCATGACTCCGGTCAGGTAGAGACCGGTCTCCAGTCAGCACCGCTGCAGACTCGCTGTTTGAGGGCTTGATAGCCCACTCCCCCTCCACACCGCTCCACACTCGT